AAATAGAATTTAATTAAGTATATATAATAATTAATAAATAATTAACATATTAAACTTTTTTTAATGTATTTTAATATGAGTAATAACTTATATTGTAATATCATGGTCGATGTATAAATAAACTCTGTCCGTGAAAAATTACTCCACGGACAAAGTATAATAATCATATACGGCCGTGTAATTATTCGTCTAATTTAATTCATTCTAAAAGTAATTTATAGTTTACTAATAATCCGGTATCCAATAATAAGTAATTAATATAAGTTGAATTTTTTTATTTTTATTTTTTATTATTTTTTTTTATATACATTATAATTTTGGAATTGAACTTATATTTTACTTAACTCGGAATGGTTCTTCCAGAAATAATCAAAACTCCCGCTGTTCAATTGATAGGAGAAAAATGTTATACAATTTTGATAAGAAGATTTTAATATTATTGATGCGGCTTGTTTAAAGCTTTTATTATTGGCTTTGGGATCATTTTGGGCGGTGCATTGATCAAGCTACCTCAAATCATCAAAATCATGGGCGCAGGGTCAGCTCGTGGTCTTAGCTTGTCGAGCAAACGTGTCTATTGGTGTTGGATTAGCTTATAATTTTCGACAAGGAAATCCTTTTAGTACGTTTGGAGAATTAGTATTTTTGACCATACAAAATATCATCACATTACTTTCAATTCTTAACTTTTCGGGTCGCTCCAGAGATCTGTTTTTTTACTGGTATTACCATTGTCGCAATCTCTTATGTCCTTGGAACTCCCGCGATAGTTAACGATGTTTTCTTTTCATTTCTTCAAGCAATCACCATACCAATTTCTCTTGTTTCCAAGTTCCACAGATAGTAACAAATTATAAGAATGGTAGTGCGGGTCAACTGTCTTCATTTGCCGTGTTTGGTTTCACTGCCTGTTCTTTAGCTAGAATATTTACCACCTTGTCTGAAGTTGATGATTTCTTGATTTTAATCGGTTATGTTCTAGCTTCCGTACTTTACGTAGTTTTAGCTATACAAATGGTCATGTATTGGAATGTTGAGAAGGGAAGGTAGAAAAGATTAGTATTAAAAAAGAAGATTAAACTGTTTACTAAGTTGTATATTGTACGAATAATAAAAAAGATTTTGTTATATTTTCTTTAAAAATGTGGGCTGAGGGAATGTAATCTAAGGAAATGGCTTTTTTTTTTTTGTTTCTTGTAAAAATGTTGGATCGCAATCCTACACCACCACCAGCCTGATAAAAATCGAAACAATTTTTAATATAGTCTGATTCGGCTTAGTTCACACTTAATTTTCATAACGATCTAGACTTTTCTTGGATGTTAATAATATTTGATGATGATACCTTTCTTTCTTCGATTAGCCAACAGCCCACTACTTTTTTTTTTTTTTTTAAAAAAAAAAGAAATTAAGTATGTTTGTGATAATCATCCATTTTAAAAATTTCCGTTAACTTCGCCTATTCTTTACATAGCCATAACTTTTTAATATTTTTATTTTTTTATTTTATGATTAAAAGAAAGGAACAAATAATTTTAATCCGTGCTTTTTAGGGTTTTATCAGCAAAGAAGGAAATTATTAATTTAAACGAGAACATTTTTTTTTTGTTTTTTTTTTTAAAAAAAAAAACCATCAGCACTAAGACCATGATCACTTTAAACATTTAAGGAGGCTAAGGTATTCTTATTTGATCAATCTTGATAAACGTCAGTGCGAATGATAAAATGATGATACGATAACTTTATAACTTTTATGATTTGAAAAAAAAGGCATCGAAATCGACAATAAAAAAATAAAAATTCTATAAAAACGAGCTGATATCGCTTTCATCCTTTTTTTTCTTCATCATTTCAACGACTAAATTAAAAAAAAAATAAATCTATCACTTTTTCTCTGATTCTTGCGATCTTTGTTGCCTTCGTTTATTCCACAAAGAGGTGGTGAACCCAAAAAATTGTTATTTCAGGCCCAGGTCCAGGTCCAGGCCCTTTGGTCCGTTGCTTCTGAACAAATCGCTAGTTGGTGGTCTAATAAAAAAAAAAAAAAAAGAAAAAAGGAATCTAGAAAATTCGGAATTCAATTAAAAAAAATATAATAACAAAATAAAACTATAAGTGTGTAGGGTTGTAGAAAGTATTCGTACATTTCTCTGATTGTGAGAAATGTACGAATACTTTCTACAACCCTACACACTCACAAACCTTTTTATGTTTCTTTCACGAATTCAAATGAATATTTTTAAATTTTATTCTTACGATTTGAAATTCTCTAATAAAAACGCTTGATTCATGTTCGACATTTAGAACCAGTAATTGCTTCTACCCTCGCAGAAGGAGAAACTACGCCAATTTTTATCGATGATGTATGTTGTTGTTATAATTTACATTTTCGTGCAAGTTAAATTCTTTTTTTTTGTAAAAAAAAAAAAAAAAAATTAATATCTATAAAATAATTAGTCCACCGTTCTTGATCTAATTATGTAGTTGAAGTCGCTCATAAGTCTGACCCTTCGGCTAAAGGTATTGGTGAACCTTTCACGGTAACTGCTGCTTCTGGTGGCGGAAGTGCGCCAGCTCCAAAGGAACAATAATCGGCACCACCAAAGGAACTAGAATCGGAACCACCAAAGGAACCAGAACCAGCTCCAAAGGAACCGGAATCGGAAAACCAAAGGAACTACCTCCATGATCAATCACCAACTCCATTTCAGAGAATTCATTTTATTATCGTTCAATGAGAACGAATTTGATTTCGTTCAATTAGAACGATTTTTATATAAATTATAATTTGGCCAAAATTATATAATGATAGTCAAGAATTGGACTGGACTTCATTAGGTCCAAAGTTCAATAGTCCATTATTAGGAATTGGAAAAGGTCCAATTCCAACACTGACTAAAGCCAAGCCTAATTTTTTGGCCATTAGCTAATTTGACAAATTGGCCATATGGGCCGATTAGACTCATATCACTAATTAAATTTTATTGATACATAATCGACTGCCGACCATAATACATCAATAGTCGGTGTCTTAGAATACTTTCGAAACCAACTTCAAAACCTGTCGGGAATTGGTTTGGAATTGGTTTTTTTGGAAGGTACTATTTTTTTTGGACTCGATAAATTACACGTTAAAAAGTTATAAAGACTTAATTAGCGAAACTATTTTTGTTCTCACAATAAATTTGGCAGAAACAACCTTTCCTATCGTTCAGGAGAGTGAAAGTAAGGTGTCTTCTAGAATTTTTTTTTTAATATAAGAAGAATTTTAATGAAAACATTTATTGATAGATACTTTTTCCAGTCGTATTTTCATACATGATTATCCCAAGAGTTCAAAAATTGAAGCACACTATCAATCAAATGGACGATTATATCGTTCATATTATAATGTTATTTCTTTAGGATTTTATCCTTCTGCACCGAAGTTAACTCATAAAGCTAAAACAATGCAACTCAATAACCAATACCAAACAATTATATAGTTGAAACAGAATTATCTAGGCGGATTCTTAAATGTGAACTAAATATATTTCAAATTCAAAAGTTTGTTATACAATCAATTGGAAGGAAGGTCTCGGTGAGTGAAGTGTTAATAGTACAAAATCCTTTACAGCAGTTGTAACACGTTTTTACAGGTATTTTATTTGCATTTTTAAAGACATTTTGTGTTTCCCTTTCTAAAATAGCAATGATTTAGTTACCTAATATTTTAAATAGAAAATTAATCAGAAACAGTCAACCAAACTTTTTGGATCTCGTTTATTTGGATTTGACAATGAGCCATTGCATAGCATTCGTTCTTAACTTATTATTAATGCATCAAAACGAAAAAGACCACTTGAGAATATTACATCACGATCATAGCAAAATAAATGATTTAACAGGAAAGAGAATTTACATCTAAAGTTATAAAAGATTTATCAAATTTATGGAAAAATTTAAAAATTATTAATTGAAGACCTAGACATTCACAATCTCAAGGATTAGTTGAAAAAGATAATTGTGAAATTGATAAATTACTTGAAAATTGAATGGAAATAAATAATAGTACAAAATGGTGAGATTAGTTTTATAGGCAATGAATAATACTATTTGTCATGCTATTGGTCAACCTCCTTATCAATTAGTTTTTGAAAATAAAAGTAATTTAGGATTTTTACATGCTCTACTATGGGTTGATTCAATTTTTTTTGAAGTAAATATTCCTGAAATATATCTATTGAACAAAATAATGAAATTAAAATATGTATTATTTTAATAATATTTATTTATTGACTATTAATTATATTATAAAATAAATATAAAATAATAGAATAGAATAGAATATTAATAATAATACAAATGCAATATCATAAACTTTTATTAGAAAATTAATTTGATAATAATGTAAATTAATTTAATATTAATTTTTTTTTTTAAAAAAAATTATTAATAATTTTTAATTTATGCTTTAATATCTTTTAGAATAATAATAAATTGATATAAATAATATAAATAATTCTTTTAAAAGTAATTCAAATTCTTTAAATTCCTGTTTTAAAAATAGTTTAAATTCTTCAAATTCTTCTTCTAAAAAAAATAAAAATAATGATAATTTAAATATTGAATCTTCTTTAATTATATCATTAATAAGTTTAATAATTATAATAATTAATTATTTTTTATTAATTTTAATATAAATAAATAAATATTTTGGTTAATAAAATATAATATTGACTAATATAAAAAAGATAAGTAAATTGACTTAAAAGAATATTTGTGTAAATATTGTCACCAATAATTACTTTATGTTATTTAAAAAAAAGATTTACAAAAAAATCTTGAAACCACTTTTATTATAGTAATATAGATATAGTATATAGTAATACAATAATAATATTTTTGTAATATAATATAGTATTTTATTATTCTATTATAATACTTTATTATACTGTTTCTATATACTATTATACTGTAATATTTTAATAGAAAAGAAGTTCTTTATATATCAAATTTCTTTCTAGTCTAGCCTTAAAAAATTAAAATCAGTTATACAATATAAATTATTTTATATTATAAAAAAGAATCTATAAGGTGTAACTAATCAATGTCTTTTTTATTAAATCAAAAAATATATATATTTAAATCTAATTTTTAAGAGTAAATAAGACATGATTAACTATTAATTTAAGAAAAAAACTAAAAATAACTTCATATTATTATATATAAGATTTTAACTTCTATATTATCATATATATTATGATCACGTGTTTACATCATTAATTATAAAAAATTTATCAAAAGTGAAATTTAGTTCACCAGAAGAAATTTAAAATTACTGAAATATTACAATTAAATGTGACTTATAGTAAATTATAATAGACTCTTATGACACATTTTTTCTCACGTTATCTTTTTTCTTCAATTTTCTTTTACAATAATTTTCTTTATAACTTTCTTTTATTTCATAATGAGTACTCAAGAATTTTTACCTTTAAATGATTTTTATCATGAAAATATAGATACAAAAGATGACTTATCTATGTTAGTGATTTTATAAATAAAGAAAATGATACTAATTTATTATTCTAAAAAGGACAAACATTTGAAACTTTTGAAGAGGTAGAAAAATACTTAATGCAATATTGCGAGCAAAAAGTTAAATATCAGTTGAATATGATAATAATAATATTATTTATAAATGTACTTATAAATATATTAAAGCTGCTCAATACCAACTAAAAAAAGATAACGATCTGAAAAAAACATCAATAAAGAAATTCTGGATCAATTGGTTGTCAGTGATACATAAATGTAACTTGTTCAAAATCAACTAAAATTATTAAAATTTTCATAATAGTTGATAAATATAACCATCTATTGAATTGAAATATTAAAGAAGTTAAGAGATATGAATAAATGAATGAAAAAGATAATGCAATAAATATGTTGCAAGAATTATATAATTTCTAAAAGAAAGATTCAGGTTGGATAATTGAAACTCATATAATTGAAGAAGATTTTTGTTTGAAAAGTATTTATAAATGTCACCACTGTTAACGTTACCCTTTCCATTGAATAAGTTAACTATGATTTGAAGTCAGGGAGGCAATAGCTATAACTTAAATCCAATCAACTTGACACGTTGTTTATTAGAGAGTTTATTTAGTTAACAAGAATAAATTATAAGTTTTATGTTTGCAAAATGTTAAGAGTATTTATTATTGTTATTAAATGTATATTGAATACAATATTAAGAATTTTTTGGAATCTGTCCTTTTTCCAAGGCATTTTCATACCCTTTTTATAGGAAAATTACAATTAAAGAAAATCTATGGTATTTATGATACTACTGACAACAATAACAGAGCTAACAGATATACTAATTATGTTAAATATGTAATAAATGATAATAATAATATAGATAACAGAAATATAATAAATAATAAGTGTGTCCTATTTGGCAGATATGGCATTGTCACTGTGGAATTCTTCAACTCAGGGTGATTACGTTATCAAGTCTCTACTCGAAATTTCTAACTGCGGTTTACTGCGGTTAAGATGTTAGGATCCGCCTAGCCCTTAACTTTGTCAAAATTACACGTTAGACTTAAATAAAACCTATCAAGTATAAAGACTTGAAAGACGAGATTATGAATAATTTATTTAAAGAACTCGGATGACGAACTCAATTACAAATAATGTGTAGG